TTATTCTGTCAGAGTACAATTGCGATAAGGATGTCATTTGTTCATTGCAGTGATCTGATTAGAATTTTTGTTTGGATTCGAATTTTTCGCTTAAATAACATTCAAACAAATATCCATGCACTTGCTCCATTTTCAGTGTCTATTGTCTTCATAAGCATCCCCTTTTGTTAGTACCAAACGGCAGTGATTAGTCTATCCACATATAAACACCTCGATGATGCTTTTTTGAATTATTGACGGATTGCGATGACATTCTTAGGTGAATCGTCCAACAGTAGTGCCACCATATGGATTAATTTGTGATGTGCTTTGGTCTGATCCAGACGATAAATATAACGGTTGGGCGCTGAGTCCGCGTGGTATATCGTTTACGTTCAACGAGCGAATCGTGAAAGAATTTTGTGATGCTCATGGTATTGACTTGATTGTGCGAGGGCATCAACTCACTGTTGAGGTCATTGCTTTGAAGCACTTTTACTTCATTTAGACAACTAGGGAATCGCTCAGCACAAATCTTACTGAGGAAATAGATGCAAACAAATGGATTGGGAACGATTTTGATAGTATAACATTTAGATGTTATATTAATTGTGGCATTTTACATGATCTCTTGTATTATATTGATGACTCAGGGGGACACTGGAATCACTGTTTGAAATCTGTTGATTATCTTCGGGAAGTGTTATGCGTAAGCAATCAGACGGATTACCACATTCAAAGAAATTTAAATGAAAAATCTCAGCAGAAGCATTTGAGCGTGTGAAATGTTGACGCTAGAAGGCAGAATTATTTTGTTCTTATCCATTCAAGTGCATTGCGAAATTATCGTTTAAGCATTGAGTGTGTCCGATGAGATGCAATTAAAAAAGCAGTTATATGCGATTGTTTAGATGATGAAAACGGGATATCGTTTCTTCGCAGGCGGACGTCTTGTTAGTATATTCTCTGCAGCTGATTATACGAATATGAAAAATGATGCGTGTGTTTTGCACATTTCTAAAAAAGTATGTTTGTAGTTTGCCGAGATTTGTAGCCTTGAGGTTTAGCCATGACTTATTATATTGATCGAGTCTTGATCTTGTAGAGATATCTTTGCGGAGGTTCTTTCTATGCATTTTGTTTTTCGTTTG